AAGTTGTATACTTTTTACATTTTCTTTTTTCCTGTTTTAGCTAGTAAAATTTTTATTACAATCCTTTTAGTTGATGAAAGTTTAAAACTTTGCTTAATTCTCATCTAAATTACGCTACAGCTATTCATTACTAAATTTAGCAACTTATGAAAACAGCTGAAACAAAATATAATTAGTAATATCAATAATAATTGTGATGGAAATTGAAATTAAATATTAGACGCGCATGTGTTAATTATACTTAACTCGTTATTAATATGTTCTTTCGTATGATACCTATAAACCACATAGTTATCTTTGGAGTTGTAAATATTAAATTATCGAAAATGTCATAGTTCTTTAATTTGTAAGTAAAGGTAATTTTCTAATATTAAAAAAATTTATGAGAAGATTTATTTAGATAGTACAGAATGCTTAGTTTCAATAAAAAAAACTACGTTTTAATTAAATTATTTCAATTTAAATCACATTTTTAACTTATATATAAACTTTTCATATTTTATGTTTGTAAAAAAAGTAATGATAAATGAGAATTATAATAAAACCACACATTTTTAACGATATATAAATTCGTATTTTATGTTCGTAAAAAAAGTAATAATAAATAAAAATTATAATTATTCAAATAATTCTTATATGCTTGATTATTTGCCTATTCCGTTTCTAAATATTTTCAAATGAACAATTTCTTCATCATTCTTTTACGCAGTTCTTTGTAGAACAGCGCAAAATTTTCACCCGTGTAATGAAACGTTAACTACTACATCATTAAAAACGAGCATACGCTTACCGCCTTTCTTACCCGATGACGCTATCATCTGTCCGAAATTATCTCCTTCCCGCTTAAGGAGCTCGACTCATCCCACGCGCTCCGGTTACATCCGGTATATCCTTGCCGCTCGCGTTTTCACCCTCGTTTTCAGTGGATTCCGGGCAGAAAGCTCGGTCGGCCGGATTCACGGGGGTGGATTGAGACATGCCGGGGTGTGGCCGGGCCCAGGGATTAACCCCCGCTGACAGCCAATCATATCCGAGACAGCCCCACCAGGCGGATGACTACGAAACCCGGCTGAAACTGTCGTACTCCCTCGCCGTCCCTCGCAACAACCCCCACCGCTAATTGCCTTGGCTTTAATATCGCATGTGGAATGAAAGCCAGAGGAGGAAGATGAGGAGGAGGAAGAGGAGGAGGAGGAGGAAGAGGAAGAGGAAGAGGAGGAAGAGGAGGAGAAGGTGGCAAGGGTAACCAAGGCGGTGAAGAGGGACCAGGGAGGATGGAAGCGTCGGCTGTAAGGCAACAGAATGCTGTAGAGTCCAGGAAGGGAGGAGAGACTGCTTTGTATGTGTCGATCGCAATACCTACGTTCCTGGGCTGTTCAGAGTGGAAGGAGGAAGGGGGATGCGTATGGCATTATGCGTTCGTGAATTTTATACATGTGTTCACGCGTATACGGCACAGCAATCGCATACGGCTAAGCTGTAGATCATTCCCGATACGGATTCAATTTGGAAACAATAGATAGCGCGGCGATACTATTTACTATCGAAATTGATATTTAGTTAGTTAATGATCCTCTCCATGCCGCGATCAGCATCAGGTATCGTGAATTGGATTAGTTTCCGCGGTTGATAGATTTACCGAGCCGATCAATGATTGATGCGAACAATGTGAGGACTTCATGGACACGAGAGTCAATTCCAGCTATCATGATTGGGACAATGACATTTTGAGATGTACAGTTTGATTTTCGAAATCGCTAACGGAATGTAAAGTCCATTGGATTTGCACATTGTTTGTACAGTATCAACTACATTTAATTGGATTCTTTAATTCTAATCTTATAATCTTTTAATTGTAATATTCCTGAAATTAATCAATTTATCTAAGCACATAATATAAGTAAATTTATGCATAAGTCTTTTTTTATTTCTTAAAAAATAAAATTTGTTTAATAGCTCAAAATATGCGTTATAAAAATGTCTTTTAAGAAAAAAGCTTTTAAAAAGTTTTTTAATAAAGAATTAAAAAAATAAGGAATTAAAAAAATTCTGGTTGGTTTGATTTGTTTCATCAAGCGTTTAATCTGTCTGCATATCGAACCGAATTCGCTGAAGTGAATAGAAGTCTTGCCTGATCGTCTTTGTCTTATATATTGGCTCGTAAGGGTGGCTCTTATAAAGCGGAGCAATTATCCGGGTAAAATACTCCACGAAATTTCCGTGATAAATTTCAGGCCGTAATAAGGGTGAGTCGCAAGTCATTTGGGCGGCGATCAAGAGGGTGGGTATCGAGCTTCAATAGAAATTCTTTTGGACCCCCACTACGGTACGGGCCACCATTTAATTTATTCATTTGTCGCCAATTTCATTCGACCCTGCTTCTGTCTCCCCTCGAGAGCCTTACCTAAAAACTGATAATTACTACACTAGGGTACGATGTGAAAATAAGACAGCGAGGAAATTAACCTGACGATGCACACGTTCTTTCTTCCCTGTAAATTTAACGTATATCCGATTCTGTCTTCCAAATCAAATTACTATACGAATGAATAAAATATGACTAAATTTTAACTGAACAGTAGATTTCTTAAATACATATAATGATGTACTTGTTTCTTTATATGCGCATAAGTTTAACGTAAAGGCTTTTGCACAATAAAAAATATAAGGAACAAGGAACAGATATCAGCGATTAGGACTAAAGAATCAAGAATAAAGTTGGATGCACGATGAAAAATACAGACAACAGAAAGAAGGAATAATACAGGCAATAGATTTTTAACCTATCGGAAGTCGTGTATTAATGCTACACCAGCTTTATTCCTGATTTCTTATTTCTAATCGCTGATATCTGTTCCTTGATTCTTATATTTTTTATTGTGCGGGGGCCTTAAGATATAATTATTTACATTTTAAGATAATTAAAAAATTTCTTAATATTACAATTCTTTTAAATGAGCGCAAAATATACACAAATATATACTAATATATATTGATATTAAAACAATCTAAAACAGAATTTTCAGTTTTTCTACTTGATAAATAAAGATTTGGAACTAAAGGGATTAAATTATCTGCTAACTCTTTATAGCAAAGCAATTTACAGTAAAGTTTGTGTAATAAGAAATATATGATGCAATTACGAACTGGTTTGTAAAATAGTTAGAGAATAGCTTAAAAGTTGTATGTAAATTTGGAATTTATGGCTCAATCTTAACTTCATAATGGCTTTTCGAGCGCAAAACTTTTATTAGAGGTGTTATTCATGCGTATGCCTACTTCATGAAAGATGGAACATTTGAATTTATTATAATATACATAACGCGCGTGTGCATTGTGCATTTATTAATTGCAAGTAGAACTATACTAAATTTGTTATATATGTAAAAATAATTTTCTTATATAACAAAACTGTATAGAAACACATTACACAATTATAAAATATAAAAGAATTTATTCTCTTATGCTACGCGTACATTAATTATTTTAGCGAATTCTAACAGAAAATATAATTAATATAAAAGTCTTTTAAATTCCGCGATTAAATCAATTCTTCTCTTTGACTTCAAATAAAGCGCCATGTATTATTAAATTGTCATGTTGTCATATTGACAAAAAGATAAGGCTGCGTGCATGAAGTCGACATGATGTAAAACCTCGACATAATTAAGCTCTTGCCCTCGAGTGTAACCTCCTTAGAGGTTTTCCAAGGTACTGAAATTCCCGCGTACCCGTCAACGTCTAATGAGGGGATTGTGGATGAAGTTTCAGATTGGCATGAAGCAATTAAGGAAGACTTATTTACCTCAACATCTTTAGAATATATTAATAACTATGATCGTCGTCTTAATTTAGTTATATAAAAGCTGCAGACAAACATACATTATATTTGACAATAGTGTCTTCTCTTTATTGACGTTTAAAGATTTTATTTTTTATTTTGGATTAATATTTAAAAATTCAATTCTTTCATTGTGAACGTGGAAGTAAACAATTTCCATAATAATATGATCTTAATACACAATTTTTATACAAATTTATTTGTAATATGTAAATAATAAATTGCGAAAATAGCGGTTTATTTTCACTATACATAGTATGTCACGTGTAAAAATTCTATCGGTTAGTATATATCTCACGTGCAAAAATTCTGTCGACAAATATGTCAACAATATTCTAAATATCTTCTTTTCATAACCGTTTTCTACAACTAATTTATGTTCATTATAATATTACCGTCTTCATGTAATTAGCTCAAGAATTCCCCGAGTCAGCGCGAAATTTCGTAAGATAAATTGCGCGAAATTCCTCCCAATAATCCATAGCGAGTGAACTCTTCGATGTTGAAGACTATCTCAATCCAAGACGAGATAAGAAAGATCATCCGAACAAAATTAAACTACCTCATCATCATTAGGACCTAATTACCGGAAGGTCTTGAACGCGGATGACATCGCTGACGAGCGGTTGAAGCGAGGCGCTAACTACGTTTACGCACGCGCTCATCTTCGTCTTCACGGATACGCTTCCTGGGAACGCTTGGTGGTATCAGCATCTTCAAGTGAGCTAGTCGGTCTAGGCGAAAGCTTATTAATGGGTGCCTGCTACGAGGGACGGGGGAGCAGCTTTCGCAGGACGGCGACGAGGAAGAACGGGTTGCGACTCGACGGAGGTGGATGCTGGCTGGATAGCTCGAGATAGAGGGTAGAAAAAAGTAACAGACTCCCCGCAAATAACCCCCACGGTGCTCGCGGTAGGCGTGTCCCGGGCACGGGGTGATGGCAGAATCCGGCCAACCAGGATCCGGCGACGACGCGCGCCCCGGCCTTCTCTCGTCGAATGAAAAAATATTGACCGTACGAGGGGGTATCCTGCGGTCCATTTGGGGGTTGCGGAGGTGAAACATAACGGTCGACTGATTGTTAGGGGTGGCGGGCGGGCAAGGAGGGTTACGAGGCGGCGGGTGAATACCCTCCTCGTCACGTACGGGATCATTAGCTGGATATCCTTGGTCCCGTTGGCCAACCCTATCCGATAGCGGTGATCCTCGTGCTTGACATCATTATCCTTGGATGCTGCGGAGCGCCAACGCGGTCCGATCATACTTCGTCGCAAGCGTCTTCGTAGTTCGGTCTCTTCCGATACCGCTACGTTTCCTTCTCATACCTTCGCCTCTTCTTCGCCTTCAGTTTCGTTTCGTTCGTATTTATCCATCCACCGTTTGGTAATCCAAGCAACATACACTTATTCAATAAGTCTGTGAAAATTGTGATAGTGCGCGAATTTGTTGTTTACGATGGGATAATAATTCATCGATAATAAACATGATTATGATGGTGATCTAATGACTTTCGACATTAAATTGTGGATGGTAAATTAATGTGACTAAAGAATAGCATAATCCGTTTGGTGAAAAATACACGATGAATTAGTTTTTTATAATAACTTTGACAGTGATGAACAGATTTGATGACTACGGTGAAGAAGAAAAACTGATTGGATATATTTAGCTGACCGCCGTTTTTGAGGAAAAAATTTGTGATAAGTGTTTATGTAAATAACATAACGTTTTAAAAGAACTCGAATTTATTCGCTGTGATTCTTTATCGCATTTAAGATAATTAGAAAGTTTTTTTTAAAGCTAAATTAATATCTGTGTTAAATAACGAAAAAGATTAATAAACAGTTAATACTAACTGTTTTCTGACGACTATATGGTTCAACAGTGTTATTCATAGTGTCAAGAAAATATTGAGGAAAAATAACAGTTTCAAAAGAACATTTCAAAATGGAGACGAGCGATCCGTCGGGCAGACTAACGGCGGAAGACTTATCGGATTGCATAAGTGACAGCAGCCATTCGGAATCTCAATTAAGAGCATTTCAGAGTTATGAGCGTATCAAGGAACTTAATCTATCCATTGATAAAACTAAAGAGGACGCATCGACGGAGCCAAAGGATTTTCATCTTAGTCTCGAAGATAGCGATAGAACCCTTCGATTCAATGAGTTTCCATGCGAAAACCCGACCAGAAATCTGACTATGACGTTGAATAAGACCAAGGATTTCGCTTACTCTCCCAATAATTTGACTGAGATTAATTATTCGTTAGACAGATCGAACGAGAATGAAGAGTCAGCTGACGCCGTGACACTTTGCAGATCAAAAAATTCCAGCGCCAAGAACGTGCTGTTTAATTTGCGCGAGACCAAGCAAAGGAGTCCCCATGCGTCGTTATCCTCCTTAGACAGGTACAGCAAGGATCTCAATTTCGTGGTGGAAAAGGAAATGAAGGACTTCGGCCTGCTCAAGAACTATAATCTTGATCGCATGAAAGAGTTTAATTTTTCTCTCGATAGAATGAGGGACACCCACATTAGCAGTTTGGCCCTCGAAAGACTGCGCGGTGGTGCCGGTGTACTGGAAAATTCGAGCATGTTGGATCACAAGGAATTCAGAAACTTGCAAGTACAGCCGAGGAACCCCGATCTCGAAGCCATAGCTTTGGAGCGCATGAGACGCTCGCATCTGCTTGGCACGGAACTATCCGCGCAAAACTTGTCGACGCAAGTACCGCATCCGCACTCGATCACGCACATGCAGCATTCTCAACAACAACAGCAGCAACAAGCGAAGTCTTTCACCATCGACGCGATTCTGGGCCTAAGAAACAATCAGCGAGAAAAGCGAAGTCAACAGCAACAATACAGAAAACACCAGGGTATTTATATAATATCTTATTTACTATTAGTAACATGTCAATTTATCTGTTGCAAGAAAAGAATGTTTTAAATACAAAAATAATACTTTGAACGAGTTTAAATTTATCTAGCTTGCACAAACAAAATAAACGCTATTAGTAAATTTTATTTTTACATAATAATCAATGAAATTATTTATTTATCGAAATTAGAATCACAATTGAAAGATACAGATTATAATTTAAATTCAAAAGCAAAATAATTTGGAACGGGAGTATTTTAAAGAAACTGAAACTTGTGAAGGAGCAATAATATTTTGTTGTTTCTTCACAATTTCCAAAAACAAGAAAAGCATTAAAAATACTATTACATGCAACATGTTATTAAATGGAGGATGACATTAAAAAGAAACAACCGAAATGCTATTATAAATCGTGTACTGTATGATAATCGATAGCCTATAACTAACTTCAGATAAATTTTAGTTTTCACCAGAATGAAAATGTCAAATATCTAAATTTTCTACTTCGAAAAGAAAGCAATGGTATTCCAAATTTTTTAATTCTAAATATAGGTATATATGTTTTTTATTATAAAATTTTTTAGAATGTCTGTACAGACTATTTTCATAAATTTCTCAACAAATAAAAATGTTTGTGTAAAATTTAACCTTATCACGAAAAATTTACTACACATATTGCATTTTTATGTAGTTTTTAAAGCTTTTAACTAGATTTATTCAACTTTTGCCGCAGCAGGTGCAATTAAATATTCCTTATTGCCCTCCTACACGTTTGCTTGCCGTTTTCTCAGGTCAGGAAAGTTCGACAAAAAACGGCAGTTCAAGTTCCAATTCTGGTGGGGGCGGCAAAGTGAAGAGGGTACGAACAATTTTCACGGCGGAGCAATTGGAACGTCTGGAAGGTGAATTTGCGCGTCAGCAATACATGGTGGGCCCCGAAAGATTGTACCTGGCTCACGCACTCCGATTGACCGAGGCTCAAGTTAAGGTGTGGTTCCAGAATCGCCGCATCAAGTGGCGAAAATTGCATCACGAGCAACAGAGCCAGAGAGTGCATGAGTTCCAGCGCACGTTGAATTCTTCGTTGGAGCACGAAGACAGCAACGAAACCGACAAATGGTGAAACAGAAAATCACGATCTACGCGTTTCTAGATCGTGACTGTCACCTCGTTCCTTCTTCCTTAACTACGCCGCTCTATCCTTTTCATTTCGTTCTCCTAGGAAGCCGAGAAGTTATTCTATGCGGATGTAGTTGCAGACGAAATATTGAACGTACAATTATCAATCTCCTGAAGAAATATCATTTTTTATAACTTCTCGTAAAGTATCCACGTCGCGTCTTACTTTCTTCACTCACATCTCTGTGCTCGTCGTCTTGCCAGCTCGTTAATATCGTGTCACGAAATTCGAGCGTTCTTTGAAGAAATTATATTTGAATTGCAAATCGTGACGAAGAAAACTGCGTATTGCAAAAAGACATTAATATCATTGATTGTGCCAAAGTGAGTTTTTTATTTCTTAAAACATTTCTTTCATATCTTAGTTTAAAAGTGCGAAAATAAACCGTGAAGATACGTACGATAAGACATCTTATCGTGTTTCTAAAAATTGTAAACATACTTCTGATCAGCAAATTGCTATGATAAGAAGTGCAAATCATACTTAACTCAAATTTAAACAGCATGACAGAAAAATAAAATAATAATAAATGCCAAAAGTAAACAGTGTAAACAGAAACGTAATAAATGATGGAAAACAAAATTTAAGAAATGTGGAATGCAAAGTATGAGAATTAAAATATTATAAATAAAAATATTTGTTTTTGACGATGTTTAAATATTTATACAAGTTCCCTGACAAAAATGGAGCAAATTGGAAGACATAAGACAAAGTACACTTCACCACATACATCTACGTGGTCTGCTAATCAAACTACCGACGCTAGAGTTCCGCCTGATGCATATTGGAAATATACACAAAGAAACAATCAAGATACCACTGATAAGAGTACCAGGTAATTTTTAATAATTGGTAAAATTGTTGAAATTTAAAGAAATTTTTCATATGAATACCTTGGCATTCTTAAAGTCTTCAATTTTTTGTAACACATTTTTGTAATGAATGCAACTCATATAGCACTCAAAGATTCAATATTCAAATTCATGTAAAACCTTAATTTTAAAAAATATAATTTTATTAGAAGTATAACGGTAGAGAATAAATTTAATGCTTCTCATAAACGGAAAGTCTTATGAAAGTGAATCAAAAGCAGTTTCATGTTTTTAGACGTCATCAAAGTCCTATGCCAGAACCGCCGATGAGCTATTATTCTTCCGCAAATTCTTACAAGACTTTTAAACATAACGCTTATCCATGTTCGACGCATCCGAAACATTCCTCTGCTCTTCATACGGAAGTACCACAGCGATACCAGCAGATTACTACGAAATCTAGTAGAAATAACGATCGTACTAATAACGTTGTCGTAAATAAAGATCGATACAAGACTCAGCAAGAAGATGAGAACAATACAGACTATATCGATGAAGAACTAGGAAATTTTACAGAAGATAATTTAGACGAAGACGCTGAAGAGGAAGGTATAAACGAAGGTGTGAATGCTATTCAATTCATTATTATTTATGCAAAACTGTAACACATTTAAAAAATATATTAACAAAAAATTAATAAATCCATATGTAGTTTAAAAAAAGTATATTTCAAAGAATATAAAAAAGCTAATCTAAATAATTTTAATTATTATTACATTTATAATAGAAATAGCAGAGAAAATAGAAGAGATTAATGATATATCGAGACAAAAGTTTTCCTAATACAATTTTCCAATACAACTGTATTTATTTATAAAATAATTACAGGTGTTCAAAATGATCCAAAGCTTGTAATTATTGCGACTGCATTTAATTTCTTAAAACAAAATGTTTATATAGCGGAGAACGATCGGTCCCTTCGAAGCGACAAAAGGATCGGCGAGTCTGTCAATAAGGAATACGATGAACAGGAAGCGGACGATGAGATAGATGAAGAATCGGATGCACCTGCCGAAACACAAGCAATACAACGCAATGCAGTTAAGAAAGATGCATTGTTACGAGCACAACGAATGCGAATGATTAACCAGCAACAAGATCCACATAGAATTCGTTACTCTCAACAATCACCAAAGTTGTATCAAACTTATCATTTACCAACAAGGTTTGTAATATAAATCTTTAAAATAAACATAAAAAATTGTTTTATACAATTTTTGATTTAACGACCAATGTATAATTATCTGATTAGAAAAAAAAATGCAATTATTATTATCTATTTGCTGAAACCAAAAACTTATACAGATATACAAATGTGTTTTACTACGCTTGTTTCATCTAATTTGGTTAATCCCAATTATTTCTCAATTTCTGTTAGTTTAATCGTGCTATGGCGTGGACAGTCCATTCAAAGCTAATGAAGAATTAAATGGATTGTACATGACAAAGTAGCATAAATCAGAAATTAGAGGCATAAACGCACATTAAACAGGATACGTTGTAATTAAATAGCTTAATGATAAATTATCTGTATTTTGCTTTGGCTCGGTGTTCTCTTTAATCATATGTATTCTATCATCGGTACGTCAAATATCTGCGAGGTGCCTGTATGATTAGGTACTACCACAACACACCTGATCACAATATCCATGAAACGTTGTCGGAGGAGGATCTGTACACGGCTCAAGCGTTGAAAAATCATTCTCGAAGAACATCGATGGGCTATCATCAAAATTGGATTCCGCAGAGAAGTTCAACAGATCGATATGACACAACGACCTCGCTAACTCAGCCAAGTCGCCGAACACGGACGAGGCCAGAAATAAAGTCTTTTACGGAAGCAGAATTTGCCGATAGGAGAAAGTGTAGCCGTTGCGGTAATATCTCGACCAGGAAACCATCAACTTCGCGAAGGAACCATTGTAGATTCCAGGATAATTTAAATTTTTCGACTAAGACGCGTTTCGGTAAGCAAGTAATAAAGCCTAGCATTTGGAAAAGTACATTAATATTAACAACAATTATGATTACACAGCACTATAGTTATCTTCTTTAATTAATTATTATAATTAATTTTCAAATTTATTTAGTTGATTTTATCACCATGCTTTTGCATTAATAAATGTCAACCAAAGTTTACAAATGTTTTTTAATTTTGTTATTTGTTTCAGGAGATGATGCGGAAATCTTCGACCAATCCTGGTGCGGGCATTGTAAACCGAAACATCATTTTGAAGGAAATATGGGGTCTTGTGAAATTCCATCACCGGCTTTGTATTCGATGAAATCACAACGTTCCAGGGACACTAATATACCAATGCACGAAACGTTAGAGGGCAAACATCCGATGGACGAGATATCGCACGAGTTTGCACGGATGTCATCTAGATACACAAAAGATACGCCAAACATTTTACGCGACAGAATCAGACATTCCGTTCCGCAGGCAGCACAAGGCGCAACTAGAATATCCGCTCGTTATAATCCTTAAATATTCTTTTTAAATTTTGTCACTTTTATAAGTCAATGAGAAAGATTAAGAAAATTAATGTTTTACGGATGGAATATATATAAATTTTCTTCCTGGCTGAATTGTCTTCCAAAAATATGACATTTTCAGAAAAAGATCAAACTTATTTTGTATTTACTAAAATAACATTTTTCAAAACTAAACTTTCGAAATAATTTTAAAAAGTAACTCGCTACGTGTTTATAACATTGTTCGACTGTTAACTATTAAAAACAGTTAACTATCTCATTATGTTTCATAAGAAAAAAGATATTTACAAACATGGAACTGCTACTTCGAGCTATCTTTCACTGAATCATAGTGTTACAGTCTTCGACGAGAAACTTTAAAAAATATAAAATTATCGAGAGTTAAGAAAAATATAATAAAAAAATGAGAAATGACATTGCACTTTGTAACAATCACAGATGCTACAACAATACTTCTATCCACAGTCAGTTCCCTTCATACCGTTTGTCCAACATATATTTTTGTAACTGTCTTTCGAATCGTGTAGATGTTCTGTGTAGTGTAATAAAAAAGTTATGCCACAAAGGCATGGAAAATTAGTTTCACAATATGTACATACAAACTGAATAAAGCCAATAGAGCTGACGAAGCAATTTAACATTTTTTTCTCTCATTGTAATTTTAAAGAGATAACTGTCATTTTATGTCTTTTGGCACTGGCGCACAAAATCTACTGTAAATACGTGATATTATTATATAATTAATTATACGATAGACGTACGCGTACATGTTAAACGGAGAATAAACTCTCAATCTGTACATTAAACATAAATAGTATGTTTAATTAATCCCAAATTAATATCCATACCTGAGTTTATGTTATTATTTATAATTATTTAATATATTTATAACTGATATTAGATTTTTCTTATGTACATTATATATTTAAAAGTAAAATAAATTATAACACCACGTAAATATTATCTATTCAACAGAAATTTAATATTGCCAAAAAATTTAAATTAGACGAATGTGAATTTACTATAAAATATTTTGTAATTATGAAACGTGAATAATATTTCAAATTTCGGATAATGTGAGCGGAAAGAATTACTATATCTTATATGAGTTTTCGAATAATTTTCGCTCCGCTCGTGTTGGAAAAGAAGAAGTAGCTTTTCATGCAACTAGCAGAGCGCAAAAGAGTAGCTTTGACTGAAGCTTTTATTTAAATATTAATAACGCTCTGTCGCATTCATGCTGGAAGATTATGCTTTATTCAATTATAAACTTAATATTTTTATTACACACGTCAGCACGCCAAAAGTAGATGTTGCTTATTGTACAAGCGCAGTGACGGGAATTTAAATTTTCACAAAACATAATTAAATATTTTATGCAATAAACAGATGGTACATCTGCAAAAGAATGCAAATAAATCTGGAATTTGTATAACATATTTCATGGTATATATTATATGAACAAAATATTACTAAATATGTGCAGAAGCATATAGTATGGTTACATCTCATTATTTTTTAATAATAAGGAAGAATTTACAAAGGCAATACATGTTAAAAATAAAAACTTGATAGAGTTATTGACGGATATAAATTTCTTAATCTTTAATAATCTTGAAATTTTAGTAGTCACAGAAAGTACAATATTGCATTATTATAAAATCTGTGAAAGACTATTAATACACATATAAATTGCATCACACGTACTATTATCCAATATAAAAATTTGACATGGGTGATTGTTAGTAACTAATATTCGCTCGTTACGCGGAAGCCTCATTGTCACCGTGATAAATTAGCATAGGACCCGTGTCAAAGCATCACAAAAAGCCCTTGATGCACAATCATGTAGACTTCGCCATTACGGAGATATGGAGAAAGATATCAATCAATCCGTAATGCACCATTTTATCACAAATTCCATTTATTCGAAATCAATTGATATGACTGTTATTACTATTACTGGTTCCTCTCCATAATTAACATCATTATGTATACTTTAAAAGTCATTATCGGTAAATCATAAATCCTCATGTATATGCGTGTTCGAAATATAAATTAATAAAATAATTTTATTTAAATTATTAAATTGATTTTTTAATTTTTAAATTAAAGAAGAAAGTTAGGTAAAAAGTCATTATATGACAAGCTAGACTAGTTTCTTCAATGCAATTAAAGAAAATAACGCGACAGTTTTATTTAATATATTTTTGTCTACCAATCCAATAATAATAATAAGATATATTTCAAAATTTTTAATTTTACACATATACATTGCATAGTTTAAAATTTTTTTGACAATTATTTGTATTTTTGACGTAAAATAGATGTATAGTTAAAAGGTCAAGAAAATAAAAAAAGAAATAAAATTATATAATTACAATATTTAAAATTTCTTCTATTTTCTTTTTGTTTCCAAGTAAATTAATAATTTACAAAATTCCTAGAAACCAATGAATCGCCGTACAAAGAAGCTCGTGCGTAAATAAAGCTGCACGATGAGATCGAAATCGTCACGAGGTGAAAGGGAAGAACGAAGGCGAGATGAGCTTCGATATCTCGCGCTACAACCCTGTGCGAGATATAAGCTCCGCCTATCCCTCGGTTACAGCGGGACTTGCAAGAGCCCTGCAGCCCCCACTTTCCGGCGTAGGGTATCCCAACCCCCTGCTCCATCGTCGTTGGCATCCGCGGCATTCCAATTAGCTCGCGAATCAAAAGAGCCCCACTGCCTTTGTGGGGTCTCACCCTACCTCCAGTAAACTCGCTCGTTCTCTCTCTATCGCCCTATCTCGTTAACCACCCCCTCTCTGTCCGTCTATCTATCCGCCTTGCTATCTGCTTTATCGCACTTTCCATATATTTATCTTTCTGTCTAAATCACTACACTCATATACGTGCAGTCTTTCACACGGGATTTTACACTTGTTTCATTAATGCGTATGTTTGTAATCCTTTATAAAATTAACCAACATTTAAATAATCTGACGCTGCTTATATGTTTGTCTTATATGTTTCGAAGACTGCATTTAGTATTATTATAATATAAAAAATAAAATAAAGATACGAACCTACGTTATATTCATATCATACAAATCCTGTGCAGTTTATGCGCAGAAAAATAGAACAGTAACGAGATAAAATATACAACTCATAATGAATGAATTAAGCGTTATGAAAATCTTTCTAGATTACTTAATCGCCCGTTTTTTTCTGCTTTACAAAATTAATATTTTCATTTTCTATGTGAAGTGTGTAGACAAAATAATAAAAGAAATCTCTTTTATGCCGTCCTCTCTCAGCTTTCACTGTGTACCTAGTCTTTCCTTTTTCTTTGCATCTCTTCTCTTCCAAGCTCTCTCTCTCTCTTTGCCTCTCTCATTGCCCTTTTGCTTATATTTGTTGCTCTTTTTACCATTCTCCCTCTCTCACTGAATTGTTTCCTCCTTTTCTGCGTTATTCTCTGCGTCCTTCACTCGCAGGTGGGCTTTTTAGTGGAATAAAACCAAGCAACGCTAAAGAGCGGCTGTTACGAGAGCGGCTAAGCGGGGGCTGGATGAGATTAACCGCAGTTTTAATCGTGAACCTTCTTTGACGGACGAAATTCATATAAACGCATGAGCACTTTAGTAAAACGACCGAATTACGTTGCTTCAGTTAAAGTGGTATGCAAATCTTTGAAGTTGCAGGTTCGGACATATTGTAAGCTAATTAATTTATCTGTAGAACATGCACATAATTACTCGAAATATTTACACAAACAATGTAATATAACTAAATTTATATAAAAATATTATTTGTAATAATTGGTGACACAATATACTTCTCGTTATGCAATAATAACGGATAAACTAAAGAACGAAACATATACGTTTAAGTGTAGTAAATTCTCTAAACTTTATATGTATATACAGAATTAAAATGGCGTTATTACTAAAGATTCTAAAAAAACGCAATATTGCTGGAGTATATTTCAAGACATTCAGAAATATGGCGAAGCAGATTTCAATATTCCGGTCGACCGAATGACAAATTGGTATTGCAAAGCGACTCTCGACGTTTCCCTCAGCCTTTCGCGTTTTTACTCAAACATAGGCATCCATATACACCAGTCGCTCGGGGTAATTGAAATCGGAGGAAACCGCTCGTGGTGTTTTCCCCTCGACTCGGTCACGACGAAGCGCAACGCAAATTTTATTACGGCGCGCCTCTATCCACTTCGTTAGATACCACTTTGTTTATCATTCGCGGATATTAAAATCGTCAGTGTGATGTGTACGTGGATGTATATCCAGCATCGTTTCGCCATTTGCACGCGCATCACCGGCCACCGACTCTTCAAATTTCCATATTTTCACAACTCACTCCTTTCTCGAATATTTGTCCTGATGGAATCAACGATTACACTATTACACGTACTATAATATACATTTTATTATTGAGTTAATTATAATGACATATTAAACAAAAAATTAAAAATAATGCATTTTTTAATAAATATAGAAAATTCTATGTTTTATTAAAAATTTTAAAGTTACATAAAATAATAAGATAAATATTCTTACAGTAACTTAAAAATTTTTGACAAATGGTTATAATTCAGTTAAATGCAAGACAGAAATTTATATTAGCAATAAAAGTTTATAAAATAATATTAATAATACCAATAGATAACACGCTGAAAAATATATTTGATTTGAGCACTATCGTGCGTGATCTCCTGACAAGATCAAAGAGCATTCCTACATTCGAAACACGTGATCTTTACTTTATTCCTCCATTAGATTGTTATCAAATGCGCAATCTCCGGAATCCGCAATTCGCATATACAAGTTCAAATTCATGCACTGATTCTCTCTTTAATGATAAATAACAATTAATATAATGTAGACTTAACTGCTTATGTTACCATAAAAATTAATTGTTCTAACATAAATAATTAGAATTTAATAAACAATATGTTTTAACGTTCTTTCTTAAGAATAAATTTAAAAAAATTAATAATTAAACATGCGAACATAAAAATTAAGTTAATAAAAATCAAATTGTTTGCAATTAATTGTCAGTTAATTTCAACGATCTCAGCATATATCGCACAATACAATTAAGGGACAAAATGCTTTGCAAAATAGTTCAAGGATTACAGAAATCTCGAACGTTTGTAGCCCGTTTCAGCATCTAATTAGCATTGCGGACATGACAACGAATGGTCGAGTGTAATTTATTACGCGGCGAAACGACTGGCTGCAACTGATGATTGCAATATTCTTCCCAGATGCGGGTGTTTCGCATCGATCAGTAGCATGAGCGACAATCGCGTTATTAAGGGGTGAAGGGTGAAGCGTGCAAATATTTTCGTAACGATTAGCCTGTGTCTAGCAGTGGCTGCACCTGCACATTTGAAGTCATCATTGATATCATAACTTTCGATGATCATCCTCGTATTCGCGACTATAGTAACAATTTATTGTAATATATAGCGCTTATCTTATTCACATATTAATTAGCAATGGATATAAACGGTATCGAAATCATGAATATTTCAAATACTTGATTACAATTAATTTACTCGTATTTTAAAATAAAGTCATCATAAGGTGTCATATGTTATATAGAATATAGCTCAATTATGTATAAATGCTATGATAAAGTACAAGTGTTATTAAATATTATCTTGTATAATTATATACCAATAATAATGAAGTTGATAATTTTATGTAAAAACATGTCATGATTATTTGTATTTTATAAACGTATTAATTTAAACATTGAAGGACAAAGATAAATGTTTTCATACATATAACTAAAGTGGTGCTTGTGATTTTGTTCAGTTTTTATGGAAATTAAAACGTACCATCGAAATTCCTCAAAAAATGATACAAAAAAATAATATGACATTTTACGAATATCCGTCTATTTATGGCTAATTGGCTATAAATGTGTATGGATGATATGTCCATACTTTTTAAACATTGTCCTAAATACCGCAGTAAGTACATTGTTGTACCTAAAATATTGCAATAAAATTGGCTTTACATTATCTTCAATTTCCTATTTATATGATACAATAAAATTATGAAAAAATAATTAAATAATATTGATATCAAAGAAGCAAAATGTTTAAAATTTAAAGAGATAGTAAAAATTCTGTATTATTTGATAAAAAATTTAAATAAAATGGAAATCTGGAATTAAAAGTTTTTATTAAAATTAAAAACAAATTTTCTCTAATTGTGTTGCCACAGATAAAATGCAATATAAAAATAACGTTGCTTACAAGTATAATCTGCAACTCATATTCTTGCGGCGAATAATCGAGATTTGGGGGATGTTTGGTATTTGGCTAAATGGGGATTGTGTGCACGCGCGTTCGTATAGCTGTCACTAATCATGACCACGAATATACATGCCGTAAAAAGCATAACCGCTATGCAGGACGTACGACGGAAGGGAAACGTACGCTCGAAGGGCTGCGAACAGGTCGCATTCATAACATCAGACGGAGTAATAAAAGTCAGCACCCTATCCCCGTTGCTTTCTACGCCGCCGCGCCGCCCTCGTTCTGCCTGGATACCCAGAAGAACGCGGGGGGAGGGGGAGGGTGGAGATGCGTAGGTGAGCCAAAAAAGCGAAAAGAGGGAGGAACGTTGCGACTCTTATTGTTCGCGCAGGCATGTGATATATTCGTGAAACGTCGTTGCACATACATATCTATGTATATACGTAATATTTGATATTTTCAGATTTATATGTTCACCGAAAGAATTTGATGGAATTTAGTGACTTACAGAGCGAATACTTTGTTGGGATGGAGAAATGTGTACTTTAGTAATTACGTATCTACAAATAATAAAGTACGTAGAAATATCTGTTATTATAAAATCATAAATTTTAAGATAACATTTAACAATTTGCATTAAATTAATGCACATATAAAAAAGGAAATTTTTTTTCATAAAACTTTTATGGAGAATTCTCGTTAAAAGGTAGCTGGCACTTTTATGAGTATCTCATGGAACGATGATGGATAGTCCTTGGTTAGATTTTGTTTTAAAGAGATTGACATAAATGGTGCTTTGTAACTTAATTGTTTACCTATTATTAATAATTGTAGTCAATGATACATATTTCTGAAAAAAGAACTATTCGGAAGAACTATAAATAAAGCGCTTAAAAAAGTCGATTTTTAAAGGCTCGAAGGACATGCTAAAACGACCAGTTAGAGAGACGATGATCGTACCCTGACAATCACTTTGTCCCAAATATAATCCCCCTGTTGTAAACCACTTCAGAGGCCACCCTTCCTAGTCGGGTCAAGTGTTTTCTCCCACTAACATGCATCTAAAGGGTGCCATCGAAAGAATCGCAACTATTTCATTTTGGGGCAGATTAGATAGATTAGCGGACAGGGATGCACGACCGAGCGATATTTAGAGATGTCATCTGCGACTAACGACATGGGGTCAAAGAATATTATTTTTTTGCCGACCCTATGCGTGTCGTAATTTCGTGACTGGTGTATGAGCTATGTGTGTCTATGAAAGAGTAGCATTATTGCTAATACATTGCTTTACCTCGATTTTAAGTAACATTTATACAAGTATTGTTTAAATTTATTAATAATATTTTTTTTTCTTCACGTAATGTATAACAATATATAAATAGTTTTAAATTCCTTAATATTTTTAATGTTTTAATTTCTGGAACAGAATTATTTGAGACATTTATCTTTTGTAGAGGTAATACAAATTTAATCTTAAAATATGTTAAATTTTAGTGAAATATACAAACTGTTGTACTCTGGTTAAATATATTTATAAAATTTTTAAAATATACTGTTTTCAAATAATTATTTTAAATTGAACTAGATAAAAATAATGATAAATTAGAGAAAGAATTTATTCTGTAAATGGTTTGCTTCAAACAATAATAAATAAATTTACAAACTGTATTCTTTTCAAGAATTATATTCTTAATCGGATTGCTAGGAAAGGCATGGGTGCGTAAAGGGTTAAAATTTCGCTTGGCATATAAGGGACATGCAAATCTATAGCACTTGTATCACATGCTGCTAATTACGCCGCGCTTTGAAGTTTTAATGCCTTCATCTTCGTGTAAGCTCTTGCCAAAAAGGATTAAATCGAAAATCGGATTCCGGTGTTTAATCTTTTGCGATATGAGCCTACGGAAGTCAAAGCACGTTGATTAAAATAATTCTCGATTAATGAAGACCTATACAACCGAAACGTAATCATCAATGTGATCAAACTGTGTCTTTTTGAAATATTATTTTGAACATATTAGATGGAAGAAGATAGCCAACAAAAATTTTTCATCTATATGCGTTATACTATATTTTCTCAAGATTATGTGCAAATCATAAACGTTATATACGTCTATGATGCAAATCTAATAAATTGCAAATATCATAGATGTAACTATCGTATACTTATACTTATCAAAGAAATGATGTAATTAAATGCAATGTAAATTAAGAGTTAAATATATTTCAAAACAAATATATTTTTTCGTACATAATTAAAAATATTATAAAACGTTTTGTAGTTATACGCGATAATTTTTAAAACAATATAATTACAATAGTTATTTATTAATATATTTATTATTAGATGCAAATTTTGTCATTCTGATAAACAAAAATCATTTTAAAGCGTTATGCACGTTATATTGTACATAATTATTAAGTAATGGTTTTTAAAAGAAATTATAATTTATTTTTTTGTATATAATTTAATAATTATAGATTCGTTAAAATTTAATATAAGTGTTTAATTTTCTGCTTTTTAATGAGAAGATTGATGTTATTTTAAATAAAGAATCGTAAATAAAATAATTATATTTCTACGATCTAACCTACACACAGCTGAAGTTTCCATCAAGACTAGCTACCGACGAAACAGAGATTGCGATTATCAATGGTTGCTAAGTTCACATATCTATATAATTAATGATGACAAATGGCTTTGAATAATTTTAACTATAATTGGTGAAAATATATAGTTAAAAAAATATTATTTCCTAAAAGTAATTTAGTATTATTTTATATTAATATTTCTAAGAGTTTGTCGTGTTTTTATTAAACACGTTGTGTTTGATATACTGTTACACAATATCTTTATAATATTATATTAAAATAAAAAATAAAAAATAATTAAAAGGATATAACAAGAATGCTGAGTTCTGAACAAATTTAAGGGTTGGAAACACTAAAATACCTTATATTTTTTATATAACTATTAACGTAAAATTTTTTATATTTTATATAAAAAAGTAAAATAAAAAAGTTTTAGTATATTCCATAAAAAAGTTATTCCTATATATATACTGTTTGCTCTTGCGTATATACTCTAGGATGAAATATACGTATACTTCACGCTAGACAGAGTGATCACAATATGGCTTAGCCAATCAGATTGCATATCAGATAGCCAAGTAGAGAAAGAAGAGTAAAGTGCTAAAAGTGTTAATCGTTTGATGCAATTACTTAAGAAACGTGTAAATAAATAAAAAAATTATATGTAAAAAATAATTATTATTGTAATTATTAATGTAGAATCTGTTTAATGCAACATTGAATTTTGTTATCATTTATTTTGTGTAATATTATAATTTGTTTAAGTGCCATACAGTCCTGCTGTACGTTATTTTCTGTTAATAATTCTATATTTATAAAAAATCGATAAAACTTCATTTTCAGTGCACAGTATTGACTCAAACATTTTTTTTTTTTACAACAGCTATACAAGCATGTAATGACGGACTTTAGCGCCATCTTCAACACATATCGAAGCTACGATACCAATGTAAAATTGGTGACGCGCAAAACTTCCTATCGATGAAGTCTCGAGAAAATTACGTTTCCTGTAAGCTCACGGAATAGGTGCAACGTTCTCACTGTCAAAGTTGCTGCGATAGGCACTGATAGGCACGTGCTTACGTGGACGCTAAAATCGTGCAGCTTTATATTTCATAGAAGGAATTGAAAATATATACAGTTCAGGTGATTGTTTTTTCTTGTAAAGGGTAAACACCCTCTAATGTCAGTGCCATCGCAAACGGTGTTAGCTTCGACATCGCAGTGAACATGAACGGCACATCGCGTAAAGTGAAAAATCCGTTGTTGTCCGCCGCTGGTCCGGAATTTGCTTTCGACGCGGAGAACACATTACTGGTACCAGTCACACCCGCGACACCAGCCGTGCTCCGAGACGGTGAGTTTATTCAACGAAAAATTATGGGCGGGGCACAGGAGTCTGCAAATTTTGCATATTGTATGACCTAACGACACGGAGAATTGGCTAATGGATCGATTTCGGAATAAGCTTCATGAGGAGCAGTCTCTTGCTCCGTTTATTTCATCTCGCTGTTTGATCTCCCCAGCATCGCGCTTTTGTATATGACCAGAATATGTACTCGTAGGCTAACATCTGTTGTTCCATCATCCTTTACTCTGTCGGCAATACAGAGAAAAAGACCGTGCGATGAAAGTCCCTGACTCCAGTATGGAATGTTCGTATTTCCTAAGCCAACCTAGACAGTTTTCAGAGTTACATAAAACATATGCACAGAAGTCATAATGATACAACCGACATCGTGTAAGATGGTTTTTTTACGTATGCTTTTACTGCGACCATGCACAAATTCGTCTGTAATTAAACTATAAAAGATGCTTTAAACGATAAAAGTTTATTCTAATAAAATTGCATAGATTTGCAAAAGCTACAAAATGCATACCATTGAAAAGTCTATCAAGCAAGTGTGTAGTGTAGTTCTATGCTGTGTTCTTTAATAATTGCTTGAGTGATTTATCTGGAAAATTGAGAAAGTGATGAGTTCTTTAGTAGGTATCTTGTGTTTTTAATTTTATATATGGACGTCATACACATGGATAAGTCATACACATTACTCCATAGTGGTTATAGCATCAATTTGATTTTACACATAAATTAATTAAATACTTTATTTATATACACATTGTGAATAATACATCGGCAGTTCCATTTACAGTTTTTATAATATGATTGGTTATGATAATAGCATTAGTTGATTCCTACAAGCATTATTAGAAGCTTGTTCTTTCGGATCGTGCAGGAGGCTGTCTAGATCCATATCTTTGTGTGTAAGGTAGATCGTGACTGTTCCTTTTACGAACACAATAAACTATTGCAATAACAAGAAGTATTATAAGAAAAAGAAGTAGTAGCGCACCAAGTACGATAGCTGCTATTTCTCCTTGTTCTAGATTGTCCCATTCGTTTACGTTAATAGTACGAGTATGCTGGTTTTCAAATACGTCTATCGCTGTAATTACAGCTGTTGTTGTGCAGCATGTTGACAAATAATAAAACGTTATACGATCTTTCGTGCCACTTATATATTTAGTACGTGGATATATCCCACTTGGAATTGATATTACACGCTTCAAACCTGTATAGAGAAGTTGTGAGTGATTAAATTATACAAAAACGTTCTTACTATTATGGCTATCATATACTCATTTATACTATTACACAATCCATTGATTACCTGAGTCATAAGCTTCGGCAGTTATATCAGCGCTCCAAAATGTCTTTTCACAACGATCTTTGCTCTGCTTACCGGCGCAGTTGCTATTAAACGAATACTCAATTTTTGGCTTTACATTTGTATCAAAGGTCTAAATGCAAACAAAGTCACAAATAATATAGAATCTATATAGTAATAATAAACAGGAAATATACAAATGTAAGACTAGAACGTTATATTGAGTATAATTAATTTTATATTATTTTTCTAATTTCCATTTCTAAAATTGTGTCAAAGAATTCGTAAAAAAAAAATTTCTGTAAAAATTAATTTTTTTTTTATATGTACCTTAGAAAATGCATTTTGAACGTAAACATATACTGTTTTCTCCGAAATTTCCGTACCAACAATCTCCACTGTAAGCGTATTGACAGTATCTTGGCTACTCAATGGTACAAGAATATCTACAGCTACCCTGTTTGTCTGCCTTGGATACAGCCACATGCTATGGATACAAATTTATAAACGTATTCGTAGTAAATAGCGATATTAGCCTTGATGATTTCGAAATTTCCTCAACGTATTTATCATGTAGCCTTTAATACAATTTTTACCATTTCGAATAATCTACGACATTTGAATAAAAGTGAACAAACAACATTTATGGTTCTATCCGTATATGATCCGTATATGTATATATCCGTAAATGTTGTTGTAATATGTTGTTATAATATAATCCGTAAATGTTGTTTATACACTCTTCTTGAAATGTTGAGGTTACGCTTGCCAGCGTGACGTGGGAATTGCATAAACAGACGTGCATTTTCATTTAATAGTTTCAATAGTTAACATACATTAATGAGAAAAACTTAAATAATAGTCGAAATTAATATTTAATTCGTTATAAAGCTATTTAATTAGCTTCTAAAAAATTAATCCTTATTTCATTTAGTTTTACTAACAATAAGTGATTTACTTACTACATTGGTTGAACATTGTAGACTCTAAATGGTGAACTTCTCGCTCGTATGACATATCTCACCGGCAGCGCACAATTATTCATCGCATCAAAAAAAATTCTGTGGGTTGTTCCTGGTGCAGCAATCAATTTACTGTTGGGATTTAATTCTAGCATTATCTTTCTTCTTTCGAAAGGTTCCTCGTTAATTGTTGAAAATTCACTTTCATCGCTATTTTTCTCCGCTATTTGCATTGGTACGGTCTCACTGACGGATATCATCTTTGCATCGATATCTTCATTTAACGATGCGACTTCTGATGATCGCGACTGAATTTTTTGCTCCTTCATAATATTGATATTTGACACATTTGGTAAAATTTTAAATTCACCGTAACTCATCAAGGAATTGTTATGTAGAACAAAATTGATAATGTTTTTATCAATTGTTGCAGTAGATTCACGCGAGGAGAGTGATATATCAGAAAAATCATCTGCCATTATTTCGTCATTATTTCTTCTTGAATCCACAATTTCTGCTGATCTCTCAAATATAAATTTTTGCTTTCCATTTATTGTAGAACTTATTAAATGTGAATCGCTATTATTGTTTTTGTGAGTGTTTTTGAGAGTTTCCTATAAAATACACAATTTTAATAATTACAAAAAAATATACTCAAATAATTATAATTGCATGTTACATAAAATGTTGTAATTAATAAATTTTATTCATTAACTTACTTCGTTTAATTCGAGTTTAGTTTTGTTAATTATAGCCGATTCTTTGCTTTGTGTTGTGATACGTTTTTCATCTAATATCTCATACATATTCTCATTTTTATTAATCTCTAAAAGAAAACAATAAATAAAAAATTACAATAATAGATATGCATGTTATAACATATTTTTTATACGTTATCCGATCGGATAAATAATATGTATTATTGATTCCTAAAAAATTGTGCTGTTTGTCAAACGACAGAAGTAACATTTTTCTATAAAGGTTATTCAATTTCATTATTTAGACGCGTAAAAGATCCGATTGTGAAACTCTTTTTAACTTTCTTTGTCAAGAAAACTAAAAATAATAGATCTTTATTATTAGAATCTAATTATACATTTGTTAGAAAACTGTAATTAAAAACTATAAAAACACAAAATTAAAACTATGCCAATAGAACTCTAAAAACTCATGCGAAAGAACTAGGTACTTGAAATATTAATGGGCCATTTCAAAACAGTGGTTAATTTTACTAAAATGCATGATAAGAAGAAAATAAGATATACTAGGAAGATTAATTAAAAATAGAATTGCAGATAATAATAGCATTGGCGTCGTTTCGAGAAATTCAATGGTCGCGAGAGAGTAGTTGTTCAAACCTCTGTTCTAAGCAATATTTTTGATTACATGTCTTTTTACGATCGGAAATAATCGCTTCTTCTAGCGTCTAGCCAGTTGCATTCCAAACATTGTATTGAAAAACAAAACAAGCAATTTTTCGAGATCACTTTACTTCCTGTGCAAGCTGACGTGCGTCAGAGTGTGAATCGAGTAAAAATAAAAAAGAGACAGAGAGAGGGGGAGAGAGAGAGAGACAGATATTCGTGGCCAAAGAGCAGCGAGTAAATTGCGCAATCTCGGGTATCCCCGAGCCAGAAACTAACGGATTGGTAGTTGTCAGACGGCTGCCGTGTTAAGAGGAAGTTAGAAGTTGCGCGAGAGTGCGCGAATCTAACGTCTCCCTTAGAAAGAGACGAAGAGTAAGTTAATCTAAGGTTACAAGTTCACCGACATTTGTGAAACTGGGCCTTACCCGTGCAAAGATAAGAGTGAGTAATCCTACTTTGTTTTTATTACGAAAAAAATGAAAACATGATTTATGTGAAGCAGCGCATATATATGTGACAATGTATGAATCTTTTCGAGCATTATGTGTGACCGTGATAAAGCTGCGAAACGTTTCATTTAATTTGTACTTCTGTACGAGTCTGCGTTTAATTATGAAGTAATGTTGGTATGTAACTCATTTGTTTTTTTCTTTTGAACCACAATTGCTATTTTGCACTATGAGATTTACTTAATTTTAGCTCAACAATATCTTCAAATTATCATTATTTATTTTGAAATTTGTTTGGTTATGGATTGACTATAGTAAGTTATAAAATAAATTATAAAATATAACCTTGATGTATAAGACAGTTTTAGTTATTTCATATCAAGAGCTTCATAATTAATAAATCAGTAATTAATAAATCAGTCGATACACACATACAGTAGATTCCCGTATAACACAGGGAAATACGTTCCGTGTTATATGAATACATCCGTATTACACCAGTCACATACACAGATTATATCTATATATGTGACTCATGTAATACAGGTATGTTGCAATGTATATGGAAACACATATTTATAAAAGATGTAAGAATTTATTGTAAAAAAATGTAAAATAAATATTAAAGATGTAAAATATTTTTTATTTTACTTTAAAACAAATATTAACATGTTTTCGTTGTGTTATACGAACCCGTGTCATATGGGAGATCTACTGTACACACATAAGAACTAAATTCTAAATCTTCGTAAAAAATCTGTACAGCAATTCATGTATATTGTAAAATTTATATGGTATAGTCTGTGTATAAAAATGAATACGCGTAATACTTTAACATATTCACCGTTATGATGGTCACTGGTAACCGCTACTGAACTTTCCGTTTACGTTTTGTCGGTCATCGGTAACCGTTATGGGATAATCAAGTCAAATAAATATGTCACGTATTATATTTTTATGCAATTCAATACTATATAAATTTACTATTATAAATTAAATGTTTGATTGTTCTTCTTAACAAAAAATAATTCAATTGGTGTGAACGAAAAGTCATGTAAAATATGCTTGGCAGTGAATGTGTTAAATATAATATTTTTATAAATGCATTTATGTGTAAAAAATAAGCTTTTATTTTTTGTACGCTATTAAATCGCCACATGATTGACACCACGCATTGCAATTCCGCTTACCACTCGTGAAGTTAGGGTCAATAATATCATCCTTCATATTATCTTCCTCATTTGCCCCGTAGTAAGCAGTCACGTCGAAGTTGTATTTTGAATTTTCCACCCCCGTTAGCTTCAGGCACCATCTGTCTGGAACGTTGCGCGCGCCGATAGCCACCCCTTTCGTGTTGTATGTACTTCCCAATGACATCACTATTCTTGGTCTCTCTACTCTGTCTGTTAAAGTGCATTGGAAGTGAAAATTATTCCTGAATTAAACAACTCGATCATTGGTTTGAACGGTAAGACAAATTGATTGACAATGAAAGAATCGCAATTTGGCGATAAAATATTCTCTTGCCTTGTTCTGAACTTATTGATTATAAGAATTTCGTGTATGAAGTATATACCGTGTATTGGTTAGAATTAGAAAAACTTTATAAATCAATGAAAGAATGCAGAAACTAATTCTTGTGTGACATAATTACTTATTGTTAGTGCGACGTAATGAATAGGAAGGAATCACCCGGTCGATACTGTCCTTGATGTATGAAGGTTAAACGAAACCGAGTGTAACGACAGTAATCCTATATATACATATATGATTGAATTGATCTATTAATAGAAAAAATGCGCGTATAAATAAAAAAATTAATGCAATACAATCTGCAATTTGTTTCACGTTTTTGATAATATCTTTTTACATAACAATTATTTTTTAAGTAGAAGGGATTGTAATATAGACTATATCAAATTCATCACCGTATTAATGACAAGAATAATAAGCATTTTTACATTATATTAATTAATTTAGTTAATCATGTGTTATAATAAACAATATATTCTTGGTTATATCGCAACTATCAATACCATACATATGTTCAGAATCATGCTACTGGAACGTAACATTCGATATCGATCGTTGCATTGCTTAGTTAGTATACCATGGCTTTACTGGTATCCTAAACGTCAAATGATCAAATGTGAGAAACTGTTTAGAGCGTATCATATATAAAATTGATCGTCAAATCTTTCTTGTATAAAATAATTTGGATGGAAATATTCTCTAAATAAAAAAGATTTTTTTAAATATTTAAAAGTATATAAGAAAGAAGAATTACTCACTTGTATACATAGGTGTTATCAGAACTGCACGCGTAAGATTTCCCAGAATGTTGATTGCAATTCCAGTTACATTGACATCAGTTTGAAAGTTACTTTCAGTATATCCACTCAAATTAATCCTATGCACTATTTTCTTAAAAAATATATATAATATATATATAACTAATGATTGATTAATTAAACATATATATTTAATTAATTATTTTTTTCTTTTATTCTTCTATTTAATGTAGAAATATTAATTTATATAACTTACCGAAAATTTTGGGATAGTATTCGAAAAATAATTTTTGAATATCTCGATGTTTTGTCGACTAAGTTTTGAATTCGAGTAAAATTCGTCGTTTCGAATAACCAAATTTCTTTCTATGTTTGCGATGTCACAATCCAAATTAAGATAGATCTATAAATGTTAAATATGCAATAATATTTATTGAGATTTACGAGATTTCTACAAAATAACTTACTTGACAGTAGTCTAAAATTGTTGAATTTGTATCATTGATAGATACATGTCTTGATATTCTTAAGTTTGAACTATTTTCTAAGGAAAAATGATCTAAAATAACATAAAAAATAATTATTGCAATTATGTAAAACTTCCTTAGATTATTGCTTTCAAAATTTATATGTATTAAATGTTTATCTATATTAAACAACGTTTGTATAATATTATTAGTTAGTTTTTGCCCAGTTTTCTTCATATTCTTTAAACTTTTTTATAAACAAATATATTTAAATTTTATAAAATATCTTATCTAATATGCTGTGTGTATTCTGTAAATAATTTTACTCGTAACATTTTTATATAATTTATTTTAATTTTGTATTTACTTTAAATTTTGTATATTTTAAATATACATTTGTGTCTTAATAATCTTTAAAATGTAAAAAAAATTGAATAAACCGTTTCTTGTATAATGCTTATAATGTAGTTTTGTAATGTAGGTACATTTGATACATTAATAATTTTGATACACATATTAACGATTATTGGCATAAAAATATACTTCTTAAATCGATTTGCAGAACATGTAGTTATTTAGCATATGACCAATAAGGTTCCTGTTACTGTTATCAATCTACGTCATGTTATTTGTAGTCTTATCTTGAAAATTTCAGATAATATTTAATTGTGCGTCATCAACTATCAGGATGTGCGGTTAGAAATTACTAATTGGCAATTTCAGCGTAATTTGTATAAACTGTTTACGTCAGTATTTAATTGAACAAGAGAAACAATGTCAGTAACTATAAGTCTGTTCTATTTAGCTGAACTGCTTGCACGGTTCATATTTTTTCTTTTTCTGTCTAACGTGAAAAGAAAAAGAAGAGAGATGAACCGTGCATGAAGTTCTGCAAAAAAGAACAAGCCTATTAATAACAAGAAGTTAATTTACGTTAGATTGCATTACATTATTTACGCTACATTAAAATTATTACCTTCTCCATTCTGATCGGCGAATGACAAAACAAGATTAATATCTTCAAAACCTTTGCCAGTTCCCAATTCTTCTATACAGTACCTTTTAACAAAAATATTTGAGTTTGAGGATGAACCTATAATCTCCTCCAATACAGGGCTTTCCTTCTTCGTGATATTGCTAATGTAGATGTAATGGCTGTAATTACGCATAAAGCACATGCGTGTGTGTGTATTATATATATATATATATATATATATATATATATGTGTGTGTGTGTGTGTGTGTTGTGTGTGTGTATGTGTGTATATATGGAGGGGTAAAAACCACAGTGGTGTAAGTCAAATTTTTAAAAATATTTTTTCGTGTGCATAGATGCAATTTATATATTGTACAGATTGCATTTATGCCATTCTATGCACACGAGGAAATATTTTTAAAAATTTGACTTACACCACTGTGGTTTTTACCCCTCCATATACAGGGTTAAAGAGGGAAAGTAAAATAATCGCAAAACTCTCCCAAAAAGGCTCTCAGGAAGAAGAAGAACCACGATGATTGGAAGATGAAGTCATACGTTGGTTTATCTATATTGGATTGCATAAATCTTTATTATACACAGAAAAAAAGAAGTGTCAAATCAACAGTGTTTATACTCATATATACGCAAGAATATATAATCTTGAAATGAGATTATATTGCGTTAAACGAATAAGAAAACTTGCTTGAATGAACTCATTATACATATATAGTTCAACCAAGAAAGAAATGTTAAAATAAAAAGTTAAAATGTTGAAATTCTTATAAGAAAATTATAGTAATCTTGCATAATATATGAAACAATCTACATCTTCTTATAAGAGTATCAACTTTTTATTTCAACACTTTTTTCTTGGTTGAACTATATAATATAACTTCATTCAAGAAAATTTTCTTTGTTTAGCGCAATATAATTTCATTTCAAGATTTCCAACTTTTCCAACGTTGAAACTAAAGATATTTTCAAATCAAGAATATTTCTTTTTTCTGTGTATTGTGTAAATTAATAACATACCTAGAACATTCTGCAATTTTAAAATCGTTCAAGTTTCTTATCTTCATCGATAGATCCTCCACAAGTGGAGTTTCAAGCTTAAGCCAATCATTCTTCAAAGTAATCCCATCTGGTCTTGTTTCTGTCTCGATTGATCGCTCAATTTGCGTATTGCCTCTCTCAGACATTCTCACAACATCCGATTCAAAAACGTTATTAATTGACGGGAAAACTTTATTTGTTGATCCACCGATTGCATTTCTGCATAGAATGCAAGTTAGGTAGCACGTCACAAAAAGTCGGAACGCACGTAATTCCATATTGTGTGGCCGCAAGGAAAACCTCAAACGAAAGACTCGACACAAAAATGTGCGGCTTACTTATAAAGTTTCGTTCCCGTAAGTTTACAGAGAGGTAACATGTCTTCGGTTACATTGACGATAACATGAACGCAAAAGTAAATCTGGGCGTTAACGTTGTTGCACAATCGTAGGTGTCTCGTTATGAGCAAACTTTGATACACGATACTTGTGTATTACATTAAATACCATCCCTGGATTTAAAAAAATTGATAGAAAACGATAGGAAACGATACGATTTGTAAAAAATCTTATCGCTTCATATCCTATATAACCTATCGTTTAACATTTTAGTTTCCGAGAGAAATGTTATCGTTTTTATCATTTTCTTCCATTCTTTGTTGAAGGCGAAATCAATCGTTGGCATACGATAGAATTCTTATATAGAAATTTATTGTTTTCTATAATTTTATTGGAATTTATCGAGAAGAAATGATTGAAAACTATCGTAATCAATTGTGTATTTATAATAAAGAAAACTCATAAATTTCTTATTTTATACAATAAACATTATTATAATTGTAATTTACTCTTACACGTGAATAGGGGTGATTCATAAATAAATCATGTGTCATCACAAAAACATTGGTAATTCAAAGTCCATCAAAATACTCATAATCAACTACATAATCAACTACATAAGAGAGTAAGAATAATCCTCATTGTCTGCATTATCTTCGCCATTGGTCTTGCGTTCATTGTATCCTGTTCAATATTGACAGTTCGTGAATAATCTGCAGGAGAATTCCAGTCGAAAGAAATATTTTATGAACACGTTGTTATATCTGATTACTTAAAAGTCATTAAGTGACGTACTTACTTCTGAAAACTTAGCCTTTTGTAAAAAAAAAAGAAACATTTATTCTATCAAAAAATAATGTTAATATTAAAATCATATTACGCAGACAATTATTTTCGTTATAAAATTGTTTTCTTCAATATCTTTCTCAATCTCTATATTGCAAAATGTTTAATAATAGTAGAAGTATAAATGTACATACTTTTATATATTTCGAGTATTCTGAGCAAATGTATTTAAAATCATATAAATTGTACTAGAAGTAACGCTTTTAAACAAAAAAATACCAGAAAAATATCTTTAACATATTATAAAGTATTGTCTGACATTTTTAGATTAAGTAAGTAAACAGTAATCTTTTTTCAGATCCTGAGCTCGAAAATTTCATAAGACAAGAGCCGGCCAATATCCAATCTCAATCCCCATCAAGGACGAACGAGGATTCTCTCACGAATGCATCATTTCAGCCGAAAGAAAACAAGGATACGGCGAATCAGCCAGTAAAATCAGGATATCTCACATCGATTCTCTCTTCTCTACCGAACCTGTCGTTGTCATCAATTAAATCTGATTCCTTGGAACCGCAAATAAGTCAGACACCCGAGAACACTAGCGGAACGACGCACGAACCTAATCCTTACATAACGCCGCAAGGATACCAAGGTTCTCAGTCGGAAATACCAGGATTCTTAGCAATTAATCCTCAGGATTCTCGAAGTACAAACTTGTCAGGATTTGCTGCTTTCGGTCCTACTGTACCCAACCCTTCTCAGCCCGTAGCTCCACCCAGTGTAGCTCAACCCGGTTATGGTAAATATTTGAAATTATAATTAAAATTTTATAACTAATAAAATCGTATTTTAATAAATATGAACATAATTTTAGGAACAAATTTTAAATTCTTACTTTATGTAACACAATAAGTCATTTGATGTATGGAATTATAATATAACGAAATTCCAAGAAATCTTAATAAACTCTAAGGTCAATTTTAATTTTAATTTATGTTTACGTGTTATTTATACACGCATGTATAATTCATTTTTATTTGATGTATAATTTTTCTACTATGTATGCAATGATGTTATGTATATGTAATAATGTTTCAAGTATATTATTTAATCACAAACAATTATTATTTCTTGTTAAAGCGCCCGTGTCTTATCGACTTGGTAACCAACGACGCTTGAAGTATGCACCACCGCCTGATCTAACATCTAACAACGCAAAGCCATATCCGAATCCAGCATTACAGTCGTTCTTACCGGCTCAACATGTATCCGCACCACCAACTATTTTGAATCCGTATAAATCGGAGGGATTGGTGCAGGGCAACAATTCTAATGTACAGCAGACCAGTTCTTTGCCCGAACAACTTCCAACGTCTGAGCAGCTATCGCGAAACAGCTCTCTCCATAATTCATTTCGATCCAGTCCAGTCACAACAGGAAAGTCGTACAACTCGTCTGTAACGTCTACAAATCAAAATCCATTTTTCGAAAGTTCTTCCGTGTCCGCGCAATTTCCTTCATCATCGTCTAGACCGATACCTGCACGAGTATTGGAGCCAGCAACGCCGCAGAACACTCCGGCGAACGTCTCATTTCCCGGCTTCGCTCCTTATGTAAACCGGGATTTACCATCGACATTTACATCTAATTTCGACAAAGAAATAGCTGTGCTTAAGAACCCTAATCTAAACTCGCCGCCGGAATTTTCGAAAGGCAGTACCCTCGGGACGACCCCAGAATCTGTGTATAAACCGACATTGATACCCGGGGAAACCAAGGCCACATTTACGCCAATATCGGCAGCCAAGGTAACGGAGAAATTAGAACATTTACTTGCGGAACAGCAAGAAAATTCTTCTCGCGCAGCAACCTCCGAAGCTTCCTCGGAAGTTGACGAAATTGCATCCAGCGTCACTACCGAATTAGTGAAATCTTTCGAGTCGCAAAGCGACGCGCTAAAGGCTACAAATGAGATAATCGATAAGTCACACGAGGCGAAGCTGAATGATGTACAAGGGAAAGTCGCTCAACCTGGAAGTGACACATGGAGTGACGTGTTTCTTGGGCGAGAGCCAGCGGCGCAATCTGTGATCCGCCCGGAAATACATACCACTGATAACAGTCCGATTGTAACGGATCTCCAAGCGGCTAAGTCGAACGTACATCCGCCTAAACAGCATTATCAAGTGCAATCGGTATCTGTGCCAAGCTCCACCTTTTATACAGACAAGCCTGCAGAGCAAAAGTCGAGCTTAAACTACGTATCGCCCGTTCAACTTCCGCAGAAAGTTTCTCCTTCCGCCGATTTCTACAACTTACCGAAACCAACGGAACAGTCAGAAAGCGTGTTCTTTGAATCAGCAAAACCGAATCAGCTCTCGAGTTTCTCGTCTCAAGAAAGAAGTACAAATTCTTCATTTGGACAACCAGTAATTAACGTGACAAATAATTCGCAGCAAGCTCAAGAAAATTTCGCATTTAGTTCTACAGCGATCGATTCACCGGCTTCTCAAGTACCGTTTTGGAATGTTGATCAATCTTGTCAATCGCAGGTGTTGAACGTTGCACCTACACAGCCGGTATATACCGCGCCCAACCAACCGGTATACTCTGCTCCCACCCAACAATCAGCGCCGGTATTTTACAATCCTGCCCAATTCGCGAATGAACTGCCTAAACAATTGAGTTTTCCACATACGTACGACCAACGTTCTCCTCAACAGCAATCATATCAAAATCCACCGTTTTACGGAAGTAGCAGCGGGCTGCAACAACCCTACGCTATTCCTGCAGAAAATAATACCGCATATCCCTCGCCTGCTGTCTCGGTAGCAACGTCAATACCTGAACCGACGGGATCAGCCACACTTAGTCCTGTTCAAATGTCAGTTAATTCGCCAACTAATCGCATCACACCAGATACCGTGCCACCGAGTTTTCAAAATTGGGTAAGGATACATTCCATGTTTTTCATCATTTATAAAATTACGCAAAAATATTTACAAAATTTTATAATTAAATGCAAGATATTAATGATCGATTATTTTTCTTCATCTAATTAACTCATATTTATTTTTCTTAATACAATTTTACACATATTTAAACATGTATTTATATTATTATATAAAATTATTAAGTTATGATTTATTTATTCTTAATTGTCTGAAACATAGCTATATAGTGCTATACAGAGAATTACAAAAAGGATATTTTTAGGCCTCTGGATCTTCTGACAAACGAATGCAATACAGATCAGTATATCACCACTGGTTTTACCGCAAAGAGGTGGAGAGCAAAACACTATGGCTGCCATTCTCTATGCACGACAGCTTAAAGCTAGAAGAAGCTCATAATTCGAGCGACATTACGCCTGAAACCACGGTGGCTACTGATGGCGGTCGTTACGATGTTGACATCTTACGTCGTCAAAGAGCACCCGTCTACTGGACTGGAACATCTACCGAAGTTAGGCGATGTTCCTGGTTTTTCAAGGAAGCAGCTGAAGCGAGATACGTCCCTTATAATGAGAACACTGCTGCGAAACTTGAGGACGAATACAAACTAGCATGTCTGTCGAACACTTGGAATCGAAGAGTTGAATTAAATAATGGAGAATATATTATCTTCCATAGCGCTATAGTGCAGGTTCATTATCTACAACCGACAGGATCTCCCGATGCGACAGGATCTTGGGGAAATAACACTGTAAGTAACACAGTATAAGTGATGTAACATAATATGTAATTATATATAACAAATTGAATAGCAAATAAAGTTTGATAATAAATAAAAGAGTGTATATTTTGTGCATATAATATTTAATTAAAACTTAATTATAAAAGTTTTATTTTAAAAATAAATTAAACAATTTAACACACAAAAGAATTAAAGTACAATGTTTAATTGCACAAATGTTACATGATTTTATTCTTTTATCATTTTTTTAAAATGTTAATACTATTTAAATATTATAGTTTGTTTTAATGTAAATAAATTTTATTTTGTATATATTTTTAAAATAAAATAAATATTATGCTCTTTATAATGCAATCTTATTAAAAATGCTTTGCTTCACATCATTTCACATCATTTATATTCATATATAAAATAACGTAATTTGCAATTAAGTTATTTTAGTTTTATGTAACACATATTGTTAATTTTAAAATTATTGAGCTTTATATATACAGCTTTTGATTTATATGTATATGTAATTAAAAACAACACATAATAATATACAACATCACTTTATTAGCACATCTTTCATTTATTTTGCAAAGCATCATTGCTGCTATTATTTAAATATCTTATTTTCTCCTATAAATTACGTTTATTATTTAAAATAAATATGGTTTTTTAACATTGCACGCATGGTTCTGTTTGATATGGTGAGTCCTAATTTCTACAGGCTTCAGAGGACAGTACATATTTACAGGGTTCTGCAAGTAGACCGAAAGTTGTTAAAAGAGGAGTCGACGAATTCAATATAGATGAAGGTGAATCGGAGAAAGTAGATCATCTTCTATTTCTCGTTCACGGTATCGGTAGCGTTTGCGATCTGAAGTTTCGCACTGTAGAAGAAGTTGGTAAGTTGTGAAAAATATAATATTAATTGGAAATAAATTAGTTACCGTTATATTTATAAAATTCAAATTGTGATATTAATGTTTAATTTTTTATTACAGTTGAAGAATTCCGAAGTATATCGTTCCAATTGGTACAATCACATTATCGTACTGCTTGCGAACAAGGAGATGTAAATAGAATAGAAGTATTACCGATCTCCTGGCATACAGCACTTCATTCCGATACAGGAATTGATAAGAAATTGCAAGCTATCACGTTGGAAAGTATTCCGAAACTGCGACATTTTACTAACGATACTTTGCTGGACATACTTTTCTATACTAGTCCGATATATTGTCAAACTATTATGCAAACAGTCGGAAGTGAGATGAACAGATTGCACGCATTATTCAAAGAAAGAAATCCTACCTTTGATGGAGGAGTATACTTAGGCGGTCATTCATTGGGTAGTTTAATCATGTTCGATCTATTGTGCCATCAAAAATCCGAGAAAGAAAATGAAGACGATACGAACAATGATGAAGTGAGTAGTGATAAAAGAAATATAAGGAAATAAAAGGGATTATAAAGGCTCCTGCACAATCAAAAATATAAGGAACAAAGAACAGATATTAGTGATTAGGACTAAGGAATCAGGGATAAAACCGGATCCACAATAAAAAAAAAACACAGGCAACAGAAACAGGGAATAGCGCATAGGCAATAGATTTTTAACCTATTGGAAGCCGTGTATCATACAATGCTACACCAGTTTTATTCCTGACTTCTTATTCCTAATCGCTAATATATGTTCCTTGTTCTTTATATTTTTCATTGTGTGCGGGGACCTTTATATATCTTATCACTCAATCTCATAATTAATTTATCTTATAAATAATTTGAATACTTTTGCATTTTTGATATTTAGGCAATAAAATCTTTATTGCAATTGCAGGAAAATGACAGTATTGGGCTTATTGAGCCAATGCCCGGGGCCGTTATTAAGAAGCGTCTTAGTAGAAGAGTTAGCTATGTAATGGGGGCTGCAGGAACAGGCCAACCTTACATACATTATCCGCAACTCAATTTTCACCCGTGTGCCTTCTTTGCTCTCGGCAGTCCGATTGGCATGTTCGTAACGGTCCGAGGCATTGACACTCTCGGAGAAAATTTCACTCTGCCTACTTGTCCGGCTTTCTTCAACATCTTTCATCCGTTTGATCCGGTAGCTTATCGAGTGGAATCATTAATTAATCCTGAAGCCTGCAATTTCCGACCTATGCTGATACCGCATCATAAAGGCAGGAAGAGAATGCATTTAGGTGAATACAACTAGTTGATTTATCTAGAATGCTCACGTAATAATTTGCAATAATAATTTATAAGCAATTAAATTGAACTTGTGTGCGCTTATTAAGATTTATGACTTACAGAATTAAAGGAAACGATGGCACGTGTCGGAGCGGATTTGAAACAAAAATTAATCGATTCCGTGAGACACACGTGGAACTCTGTCTATCAACTAGTCTTATTTCACAAACCAGACAACCAAGCTCTGGAACGCGAAATCGATCAAGTTGTCGAGGAACAGTTACACAACGCGCCGAGCGTACTGGATCAACATAACAACGACGATAGTGGTGCCGATTTAAAAATTGGAAGACTTAACGGTGGTCGAAGAATAGATTACGTTCTTCAAGAAGCGCCTTTCGAATATATTAATGAATATATTTTTGCTCTTACAAGCCATATCTGTTATTGGTAAGTCGTATATCCCTTGCGATAAACATTTTCCATTATATGCACACCACTGATTTATAATTTAATTTGTTTCAGGGAATCCGAAGATACTATGCTTTTGATATTGAAGGAAATATATGGAACTAGGGGTATTCAAACCGACGCGCAACTTCCTCAGCAGTCAATGTCTATTGAGAGAGTATCTCCTTCTCCATCTTTGAATTTATCTACCCTGTCACCTAGTGCAAGTAATGGAAAAACATCGCTTGATGTAGGCGTAGACCCTACAGTGCCTATGTCCAGTAAATCTGTTGGTCCACCGCCTAAGACTGGTTTTGTACCGAAATCCTGATCGGTAGAATATTTTTCGCATAATTATTTGCTGCGAGATTAATTTGTACTGAAACAATAATTAATTTTACTTTTAATCAATATTTAAAAAATGGAACAATTAGGTTGACATTGCGCCTGACGTTAAAAAAGAAGACGCAATGCAGAAAAATTGAACTTTTGTATCTACAGTGTTTTTCCACTATCTGTAAATTTTATTAAAACACTATTCAACAATATATAAATATAAATTGCACAAAAAATTGGCCTATATGTAATCAATTTTTCGGACAAACTTTAATTTGTAGCGAATTAGTTATTAGATACAAAATAATGTAAATAATATTTCGATTTTTTGGTACGTAGAATGATCGGTAATTTTCCACTGCAATTTGGGTTCATTTGCATATTCATATGTATTATTGATACTTAGGCTGTGTGTGGTTGTATGATCGAAAATATGTACTGGAATGTTAACTATAGAGAAGAAAGATATGGAAATGAGAACGTGCAATTGGAATAACGTGTGTACACACGATTTACAATTTAGTCGGATAAAGATATAATAGATTATATAAACTTTTATAATCTGCTTGAACAAATAATGAACATACCGATTTTGATCCTTATGTACGCGCGTATTTTAATAAATTACTGTATTCTTTTATATTACTGTCAATTATATATGTCATTCCCTCATATAATTTAATTATAGATTTATTCTTGTGCTATCAAATAACGTTAGGTATTTTAATTGATATTAACAGTATTAATTTCAAGTTCATGTCTGGTATGTATAGCGACACGTGAGAGAATTATGGAGAAACTTCAACTTCAGTAATCTCAACATCGTGCAGTCAGGCAGTGCCGATATGTTCTTTAAAATGGTGTTACATGTTCAATCGGATCAGCGAATATGGCGTCACCTTATCGCGCAAGCAGCTTTAGCAGGGCTAGAAAAAAAAAGAGAACGCTTCGGCACATGCACGGCTATCACGAAACGCTAATTAATTGCGGTGCAAGCCCACCAGGTTCGAGACTGCTTTGCATTTTGCGTGCAGGCCCTCGTAAAACTACATGCCTGTCAGCCCCGGCGAATTTCAAGATGATTTATCGTCCTCGCAAAACTAAGTTTTTCGCGGTACTTCGTGGCTTCTCGGCGGCTCCGAAAGGCACGGCCGACGCTTTCGACATGCAACTGTGGCCGCTGTGGGCACGATCCGTAAAGTTGACGTCGCTGATCGACTGCTATTTTATATCCTCACCATCTAGCCGGACTGACTTTGAAATATGTTTCTTTCAAATCTTTCGATGTGGAATTTTCGGTCGAAAACGTTTCACGGTGACCCGCATACGCTATAATTGCGCGGGGAAATTAAGTGCCGGCTTTTACGTGACGGTGTTTAATACGTACGGCTGAACCTGTATTGTCACGCGAATAATCATGCACACGAAACGTCATGTTGTACATCAATCTTTCCGTAATTTTATCAAATTATAACAAGATTCGAGAAACCATATAGATGTTGAGTAAAGTCCATATACTTCTCTTTAATACACTAATATTAATATAACTGTGATCTAAGATGCACCTAAACTTTAGAAAATAAAATAGTTACATAAGTAAATTGAATATAAAAATGTGTAAATTTTATACATGTCAAATTATATGACAAATTATTAAAAAATGTCGCTTTATTTTACTTTCAGAAGAGTACATTCAGCATTTTTGAAAACTAGGTTAATTAAAAATTTTATAAACATGCAGGTTTTTGTTGCACATTGAATTTCTTTTATTTTTATAAGATATGAAACTGGGAAAAAATATTAACATATGAATATGCCCTTTTGTATAAGGTATTTTTCTTGAGATTTATGTAAAATTTGCCATGTTAAGAATGGCTATTCTCGAATATGCCATTCTACATTATTATTTTCGTATACAATGCCTTTCAAACCTGGCTGTCCGGCAATTCGATACGCTTTGGTTACTACACTGTGTGTGTGCATGATGCGCAGCCACGTTTCCCTTTTCAACATGCAAATACTCGTACATCGCGAGACAGACGTTTACGCTCAACGGCGGTAGCATAAAGTGGGGTAAGGGTAAGATTTTACAACGAGCCCTAGTAAGTGATTTACACCTCGGAAAAACTCCACGACGTTTACGATAGCTACTCACGAATTATTTATAGCATCTGGCCATGGCAGGGTGAATTTCACGACATTTATTTTTTTTCGTTTTCCTAAAGAGATGGTCGAAGTCGTGACGAAGTAAATATCATTGAATGTTTCCATTGAAATATTGGGTGACATTTATTAAATTAAAAGCATAAAGGGAAGCTTTAGCAAACAGTAGCGAATGGCTATAATGCCTAAGACGCTTACGTTTTTTTTATTTTCTGATATGATAAGTGTATTATAAAGTTATTTTAAATTTATATATAAATTGGAATGTCTTATCCTTTTAATGTAAACGTATACATATAACATGAATGTTTTTATTTTTGAAATTACTATTTTAAAAGGCCATTATAATGAAAAAGAAAGTGAATTTTATACGATACATTTAAAACTGCACTTGCATTAAAACATGAGTTGGTAGTTTTATTTAAAACATTGCAATAAAAATTTTGGAGAAAAATGATGTCGGTTTGTACTCACTGAAATATAAGCATACATAAGAATTATTAAACTGTTTCCTTTTTTAGAATATAAGTAGTTTAGAATTAGAACTTGCTGCTTATTCATGTCTTTGGCAGGCTATTTGGCAGTCTGCAAGATCCACGCACGCGCTAAGAGCTTGCAATTCCATTATTAGGAGACTTTAGACCTTCTATGCTCTAGTTGGCATTTAAGTAAAATTAGTCGATCCTAACGTGTAAGTATGCGAGAAGCTGCTGTGTTTAGCGGCTCGTCGCGGTGTGAAGCAATTCTGAGCGTCGATATGCCAGATGAGAGAGATATGCCGAGAACTTTGTGAGTATTATTCTGATCATTCTTGCAATTATTAATTGAAGTGATCTATGCTTATAACAAAATATATACAATAAAAAATAAAATATACCTTCGTTGTGGTATATTTTTCATGAATTTATATATTACGTTTAAACGTACACATTTTATTTATTGAAGTTAGTTACTTCAGAGATAAGAGTTTTGAAATTAATCTAAAAAAATACTATGTCTCAAGGACGTTTCTAAACTCAAAAATATTGTACATTTGTTCAATATATAAGAAATTTATATAAAATGTACGTATGCAAAATTATATTTCTTTTCTTTTTATATTTAAATACATAATATAATCAACTTTATAATGTTATATTTAAAATATTTAGCATTTTTTTTATTTCTTAGAGTTCTAATATTTGTGTTGCTTAGTCATTCTTTATAACATTGTTTTTATGTTCATAAAAAATTAATACGGGACGAATAATCTATAGCACAACATATGTATGTGACATATAAAATAAGAATTCTGGGCCGGTATCTGCGCGTTCTTCAACTTGAAACGTTATATAGGCAATTTGATCCTTTAATGTTTCGTACATCAAGTTTCTCTTCCTGTGATTAAAAATGAAAAAATATTATGGTCATCCAAGCTTAGTTTATGTATGTCCGTATTGTGGCGCATTTTATTCCGCGATACGTATAACGAGGTAATGGCAACTTTATGCGCGGCTCCGATGACATTTACTACTGCTCTATTCCCGCTCCGCTCACGTAACAGTCGCCCGTATTATCGTATTGTTTCCTGAAGCACTCTTCATTGTTCTTCCATTACGGAAATCGAGCTCCGTCTACGAGTTTAGAATTTATCGTGCTATACGTATCGTTGTGCGCCGTGTATGGTATACATTTCGGAAATTTGGATTTTTGCCTATTTCCGCTCTAATTCGATTGTCAGACATATGGGTTTCTGGCACGTGTCCATCCCCTGCTATATTTTCTAGAACAACTTGCCGCTTCGTGACTGTGCTACCATCAAGATTTGGTGATCAAATTCGAATTTCAAATTAATCCCAACTAATACTTATATAGTTTTCCATCATATCTTATGCTAATGATGTAGATGACATTCAAAAAATAGTTAGATTTGTTAATTTTATGATTTAAAATGAGAAGAATATTTGTTAATATTTAACATATATAACCATGCAAGATCAATGTCACGTAGATATAATTAAAGTCATTGTCATATTTGTGTTTGTGTTATCTATTACTCATATTATTATAACGGGTAAATTATAAAGAGTCTTTTAAAAGGACCTAAAAATTCTTTTCCTTCTTATTAACTTATTTTCTTAAACTAATTTAAAAAATAATATTTTCTTGAACATAATAATTAAAAATAAAAAAAGAAATAAATATTGACACATTATTACCATGCCTATAATTTATTCTTATTTTTACGAATGCATTTATAGTAATTAATCGCTTATTTTTAATGATTAACATTGATTTAGGTATGTGGGCAACTTGGATCATGCTGTGTCGGAAGATTTATTGTGTGCTTTATTTTCGCATATCGGCAGCGTTACAAGTTGCAAGATCATCAGAGAGGTAAGTCTGCAGTTGTCTCATTTGCCTTAACAATTTAACTGATATTTATGTGAAGTAGTCTTTAAAAAATCATGTTATAATTAAATATAAAATATCTTGAAGTATTGTGGATTAGTAGCTAATATAGATAAATATCGCACATTATAATAGCATGTTGTAGACTTTTGAAATAATGTTGGACACTTTCCACTTATATCGGCACAATCGATTTTGATCCATCAAAGTTACACCTGCGAATGATTGTGGCCATTTACGTGATATGCTATCATGATCGGGAAGCGGGCCGAGACAAGCCAGTTTCTCTCTTGTGATCTGCGAGCTCCACCCTCAAAGATCATATCGTTTGCACGAAAGCCCGCATTAAAGCAGGCAGTTCTGTCGTTATATCGATAGTCGCGAGTTGTAGGTGAATATACATCTTACTCAACGTTACTGCATTAATAGTCGCTTAGCTTTCGGAACGTAATATGATGTCTTCATTCTCTGGAATATTAGTGTGGTGATATGTTAATTTAATTTCTTTAATTATTTTTTATTTAAAAGCAATTAACAGTTTTTATTTTAATTTCTATTTTGCTACAAAAATATGTATATTAATTAAAAACAAGATAAATGTAAAAGAAAGATATTTTCCATAAATAAATTATTAATAAATGAAGTAAGGAATAAGAGATATATTGTAAAGAAATGGATATGTTCTTTGGATAGCAATTCCACAAACTGATATATTACTTTTCTGAGAGTTAAGTACAATTTTAAGAAAATTAATAAAGTTATGAGATATTTTGCTAGAGATTCAAATTAATAAATTTTCATCAGGATATTATAACAATTCAGCACATTTTAAATCTTAAACTATAAAATTAATTTTTAAATATTGTATTCATTTTGCTTCTTTTTCATTTTTATTCTTATTAACAATTTAAATAGAGGATTATAAGAATAAATTGACTAAATAATCAATGTATCTTCTCTTGATTTATAAGATTATGACAAAATAATAATAATAATAAATATAACCAACATTTTCAAAAAGCATTAATCATCTGAAAAAGACGTTAACGTGACAAATTGAGAGTTAACAATCTTTCAGTAAAACTAGGCTTTAGCAATCTATCAGCGAAAGAATAATCAGCAGGTTATTATTCAAAGAAATAATAATATTTTGCCGAAGCATGCGTCCACGTATGCGCTTACATGAATGCATGAAAATAACAGTCAGACTGAAACGTAAACGCCCACAAATGTAATTACGGAACAGTGCGGACATAGCAATGCGCGAGGGCATCAAACACAGAGGTTTGTACACTTTTCTCCTTGATTCTTGTAAAATTTAACCTCTCACTTATTTCTCTCCATCTCTCTCTCTCAGGTCGTTATATATTATTTTCTTTCTATACTGGTTAGTTGCATGCACCAACGAGATATACGCTCGTTGCACGATGCGGTTTCGTGCGACGTAACACTTGTTCATCATCCACCTTCGTGTATACGTCACACAAAGTTTTTTTCCCTCATCGTCACTGTTCTTCCCTTGTTTCCTACCGCTCTTTATTTTCCTTCCTTCATTAAGCAGCAAGTATATAAGCGATATGCTGCCTATCACGGAAGATATTATGTGGCTCGGGAGGTAATATTAGCAAGGTACGTTAGACTCATTTTTTCGTGCGTTATTTACGATTAAAAACATTAAAAGAGTAATTTGCAGAGACTGTGTATAACAAGAATTAAAAAGTTAAAGTTTTATCTTTCATCGCTTTTCTGATAATTTTTAAAGTTTTGACTAAATTTTAATCAGTACTTTGAAAAACATTGTATGAAAAACTATGAAAACTAATGTAAACTTCTACGAAAACGTTATGTAAAATCGATATTTAATTATACATATATTATGCATATATTAATTGTTATTACTAATAAAAAGTAATAATTTTATATGTGTGCATATATACATGTACACACATGTATATACCAATATTGATACAGAATAAAAAAAAATTCAATCAAAATGCAGATGAATTTCACATACAAGCTCTTCCTCAGTTGAATAAATAAATATTGCCAGTAAAACCAAATTGTTGATTTTGCTGACCCCAAAAGAATATTCGCCAATTAAATATTGAAAAAATTGAAACGGTTATTCATTTTTCCCTTTAGTAATAACTGACAAACATCACCAAAACTAATTGATTTAAAAACTAAGACTTCTTGTTCTTGTTAGTTATAAATGATATACTAATAGTTATTAATAATAAGATCAAATAGTAAACATTGCATGTATTAATTTTGTTTTAGTTCCATTTTGAGACAAATTTTTATTACATTTAAACTTATTATTATACAACGTATCATAAAACGCGAGCTTATAAAAGTATCAAGAAGATCAGTGCTCAAATCATATATTTTAAGTCAGCAAAGATGTATAATATAAGATGTAGAAAAATATATTCTCTATTAAAATCAAGCTTAATGTAATTACATTATTGAGACAATTTCTATAATATACCTACCGAGATACCTACATAGCGGGGTTGTTATATTCAATTGTGCTTTTTTTCTAATGTAGAAGATATTATTATTTCTGGTCATTCTAAATAATTTAGTGCATTATCTGTAAATTATGTTAAAGATTACTAGTGCACTTAATTTATTAAATAATTCTAATAATTATTTTAACAATAATTTTTAAGGAAGTCACTATAAACAAACACTTATTGCAACATAATTAAAAATCATATGTAACAAATTTTATATATAGATAAGGCTATATTAGGCCTTTTAGGATGATTATTGATTACGTCTTAATAAGACTCAATAAACAGCAAAAAAAATTTAACTCGAAGGCCGCAAAGTTTTCTACTACTTGGCATACAGGAGATAATATTTTACTTCCTGATTTACATGACAAAAAGTGAGAAGAATATAAGCTTTCACTTTTTCTCATATGATCACACGTAACACAATGTTAATTACTAGTGTGAATGATGTTAACGGATTATTCGCTTTCGTTTCAGCAAGTTAAATTTCAATACGCCTATTTGGGATCGTAATGTGACATTTAACATGAATAAATGTTCATCGCACTTTTCATATTTTGTTCTTCAATTTGGTCCAATGCTGAATGCTGGTATCGCACGTATCTGTCACGATCTGTCAAGTAAAAGCGCGGTATCTTTTTGATATCTTCGATATCGGAAATGTGCCTTAATGGTACAATGTCTGTCTAAAATATTTGCCGATAAGTATATAGTATAAAATAGAACGCGTTATAATTATAAGCTATTTAATTAAGAAATTAACGTAAATTATTCAAAAATTAATCTTTAATTTATTAATTTATTTTAAAAAATACAGTATTTTTCTTTCTCTTTTTCTTTTAAAGTAATTACAAAATTATATATTTTTTGTATTAAACAAAAAAAAAAAAATTTTATTAAACAAAAAACAGTACTATATATATTAATGAAAGTATAATTATAAGATCTAAAATTAGTGGTAAAAAATTCTTTAACGGAGAATGTAGGTAATTCTGCATCATATATAGACGAATAAGTGCTGTATTTTCCGTTCGAGTTATTAAAATTGCTATGCAGTTATATACTTGCAACATCGAATCGCCATCGCTGTCATCCTCTACGACGACACCGTCGTTTCGATAGTTAATGTGTATCAATATTTTACGTATTCTGCATAAGCAGCGCGGTAGGTATTTGCGTTTATTAGCTATAAACTCTCTGCAGGTGGGGCTCGCTGCTGCGCGACGGATTTATGGACCGTGCACTTTCCGAGAAAATGACGGTCCGAAGACGAGACTTTGTGCATAATGTGTTGTTGTGGAAAAGTGCTAACGTGCATTAACATCCGTCTGCACTTTGATATTTGTATGTTACTCAGTAAAATAATTGTCGGAGACTCATCTCGTGTCAACTTAATTCCATAAACTTGTTTCGCAACAAGAAAATGCTAATCAATTAAAATTAATCGATTTATTTCAGATTATGAAAAAAATGAGGTCAATTTTCAGATCAAACTACAAAATAAAAATAACATGATTTCGAGTTTAATTTAATTTAGTTTATGTCTCTAGATTTCTAACATTGTTGTTTTTAGCAGCGAAATTTCCTTTTTTAAAAGTCTTTCTTTTTTTAATCATGCTTTTCAACTGAGAGAAATATTCCTCGAACGTTTCAGCAAGATATTTGGAACGCGCTTCGTTCTTCTTAATTGAATTTAGACAGAATGCTCAGGTGCGTCCTTCCATTGTACAACGTACCAGGTGATGCAACTACGCCCCTCTGTCTCGTTATTTCTGATGCTGTATTCCTCTATCTCGTTAATTTACACGCGGCTAAATAAACGGTGTATTTGGATGTACGACCGTGTGATATTAAGATAGCATATACATTTATGTAATAACACTAACAACAAGTAATAATTTATAAATATACACTGAAAATCGAAGTGTTTAATCAAAAAAGCGTTTGAACTGTTTAAAGTAAACGTTTAAAAAGTGACTATAAAAAAGTGTATTAATTAAAACACTTTGATTTACAATGTATATACGTGCGAAGAAACAATATTGAGATCTTTGATTAGTTTCATAAGACATTGTACTTGCTCTGCTAAAAAATATATTAAATAGCGAAAGACTTTTCATAAATTAATTTAACTTTTGCGACCGAGTTTTCTTTAAATTCTTTTTTACAAGAGCATTATTAATAATATCATTTTATAGAATTTGATATTGTTTTATATATACGTTATATCCGCCATTGAGAATGTTAAGAAATAAAATAGCTTCATATATTATATTTAGGATTGCAAATACATGTCTAATATCAGTTTACTTGAAGCGATAGCAATGCGTCTCTCTCTTTCTCTCTCTCTAAATTTGATACATGCGGCTAAAATTGACATTGTATGTGCTCAGCGTTCATACAGGATGCAGAAAAGATCGTTCATCATTCCGCATAGCGTGCAGTCGGATAGAGAGAACATGG